CGCCCGCCGCTTATTAAGCCCTATTTGGTCTGGGCCCGAGGTGGGCTTAATAACCGGCGACTACTGTATAGACGTCAAAAGACATTCACTATATGTGTAGCGACCTCGTATTTTAGGTCATGCTTTCTTCACACGTGCCCAACACGCGTGCGCACCAGACGAGGTCAAGGTCAATTTCAAGGTCACCCTCTGTCTGACCTTACCGGCCAACCACTTCCGAAGGCCAGTTCACAAAGGACCTTAGGTGGTGACTAATTACGCTCAGACACGCCCGGAGCCGACGACCTCACGCTCAGTTGTAGACGTCCGGACCCGGCGACTACAACCGTCGGAATGCGACTCTAGATTCGGCCCGCTCATGGCTGGAGTGCACTCGTCTGGGAGTCAAGGTTTATTTCCGTTTGCCGAATAGGTTTACAACTACCCCACCTATCCTAGATTTAACTAGAGGATCTCAAACAAAAAAGGAAGGCACATTAACTACCTTCGCTTTAAGCTCCTTGATTTGCTTCAGCGAGTCACCCTGGTCCAGTCTATTTCGTTCTTTGCGCAAAATTTCGATCAGGCGATCTCGGTCTCCCAGCCGCTTCTGCAAGTCTTCCACCATGTGTCGAGTCAACGTCAGCTCCTTCTTTAATCCTCGTTCCTCCGTTGTTTCGACCTGGATTGACGCTTGCGTTGCCTACAATAAATAAGCCTGGTGAACGAGTCTGATCTTGACGTGACTAATCAAGATGGGACAGGCTTGTGGAATTTTGATAACAAACCGTGGTCAGACGCTTTGATGGAAAGTTAATTCGTTGGGTATGTCAAACAAAGGGGTTGTGTCCAAAAGCTTTTTTGTCATACATTTGGAATTAGATATTAGAAATAAAACCAAAGTTGGATAGAAGTTTGATCACTGTGACAAATAAACTAAATAAATAAACTTAAATAAATAACCTAAATAAACTTATTTTAGAATGCTTTTCTTCGGTCCTACATTCCCAAACTGTGTGACGAAAAGGCAGTTTGTTAAGCTGGACCTTACATGCGTTTCACCAAAGTGAGCAATAACCTGATGAATTTTCAATGGGCGAGTAGACAAGATAATTCCTGGATTTTGAGTAATTCCTGGCCACGAAGGAGCCGAAAGCAAGAAGTGTTGGCAGCGTCCAACCCTCTAACAGGTATTGTGTTACAGAAATCCCCCTCGAGCAGGAAATTTCTCTTTCCCCTAGGTCCGTTCTTAGGGAGAAGTATTGACGCATAGTGCAATTGGAATGTACACTTTCAAAGCACACTAACTTTCCAGCAATTCTGACCACTGCAATACTATTCATCCTGCCCCCACCAGAACTGATGTTATCCCAGTGACCTTATATTCTTCGTACAAATTAATCAAACTACTCATAATAATTGAGTAGCGGTAT